GTGACCTTAGGCTAGGGACTTTCCCCTCTCTGGGCCTCCCTGTCTTTGCCTCTCCCCCCACCGTGTAACTGTGAGTGCCTCCTAAGGTTCTATTCTTGCCCTTTTCCAGTTCATGTTTTTCCATGACTTCAGTTATTACCTATGTGAAGACATGGCTCAGCTTTCTCCATCCCCAGCTTTTGCCCCTCACTTGTGGGCTTTTCTCCTATGTTCTGATGGTGTACGGGGCACTTTCCCTTGGATACGCTGCTCTTAGTTCAAGGCTTACAGTGTCCGAATCAGAGCTCATCATTTTCCTCCTCCAACTGCCTTCCCTTAGGTCCACCAATGTTACTGCCATTCTTTTAGTCTTTCTGATTTGAAGGTTGACCTTATCTGTGACTATTTTCCCCTCCTTCATCTTCCAAATCCACGCTGCCACCAAATCCTACCATTTCTTACTTCCAGATAACTTGGGGTCAAATTTACCTACATTCAAATTCTGCTTTGGCCACTTACTCCTTGGGCGACCTTGGCAAGTCACTTTGCCTCTCCAGGGCTCTGTTTCCTCCTCTGTAAAATGATGGGGTTGGACTAAATGATCTCTAAGGTCCCTTAGAGCTCCGAGTCTATGACCCTGTGATTCCCTGTTGATCCCTGTGTGCCTAGAATAGTACAACAGCTGACTTTCCTGCGACCAGTCTCTTCTCTCTTCTAACCCACCAAATTCTCTTCCAAATTCTCTTTTTCTTAGGCTAAATTTAAAATCACAGCACCTCAAAATACTAATGACTAGAGGAGGCAGCCCTGAAATGTCTTGAATGTCTGGGCATAGTCAGCCTGGTTATCTTTGTGGGCAAAAGTACAACAAAACCCCATATATGCATGGAGGATTTTTTTCTTAGACAGAACCTATGGTTCCATTGATGGAGGGAACTCCCTGTAGCCCTGCCGATCAGAATCTGCTCTGTTACAGCTGCCTGAGGCACTAAAGAATGAAGCAATTGTACCCAGAGGGTCAAAGCCAGGATGTGTCAGAGGTTAAGATTTGAACTCAGGTCTTCCTGGCTCTGAGGCCGGCTCTCGCCCCACTAAGCTGTGCTGCTTTTCATGGAACCGTTTATAGAATGCTTTAGGACTTCATGAGAGGCAGCATAGCATAACAGATTGTATACTGGACTTGAAGGCAAGAAGACCTGGATTCAAATCCTCCCTCTGACACTAGCTGTGTCATCGTTGGCAAGTCATCTAGCATCTCTAACCTCAGTTTCTCCCTCTGTAAAATAAGGGAGTGGGCTGGATTCAGTGGCCTCTAAGATCCCATCCAACTCTAAATCTCTAAACCTACAATTTAGTTTTTACCAGCTTCTTCTAAGTCCCCTATGCGGAGTTTCTTAAACTTTTCCTGCTTCTAACCCCTTTCTGAGTTTCAGCAGCATTTGTTCAGGAGATGTGTGACCTGAAGGCATGTGCAGTGAAAAGTGTGCATGCTTTGTGTTTAGAACCAAGGCTGCAGTGAAGTTAGGGGATGCAACATGGGCAAGTGCTGCCAGAAACACCTTGGAATCATTAGGCATTTGATTTTGAATTAATTTTTGGTCCTTGCACATTTAGAAACCTTTTAATGTTGCCAAATTTTTCACGGCCCATGGTTTAAGAAGCACTACCTATGGGATGGGGTTTGCTTGTTTTCTGGTCATTTTCCTTCCAGATGTAAGAAAACCATGGCAGGGAGAAGACCTCAGCCTTCTTCTCAAGGTAACACTGCAGGCAGCGTGACAACACCATGGCTTGGAGGACCATGAAAGAAAGAGGGCTTCTCTGATGAATAGCTGTTTGTTTTCTGCAATCAAACATTCCTTCTTAGATTTTGCTTGAGGTTACAGAATTTACATTTTTGCCTCTGACTACAGGTCAGTGGTAAAGTTGAGAGGAGAACTCAGGGTGCCACTGTCCTAGTCTATAGCTTAACCCTCATTTTTAGACATCCACACCTCACTTAGTCAGTGAAGAGTTAGGGGAAAAAATAGCAGAAAAAAAATCTTGTCTTAGAACAGACAAATTGTAGTTTGAATATGCTGCCTCTAAAACACAGCTTGTCTTTTCCCAGTGTTATCTACTGATCTAAGATTATAGGATCCTAGTTCTGGATCCAAAAGGGCCCTCAGAGGCCATCAACTCCAACCTCCTCGTTTTATGGAGGAGGAAACTGAGTTATGGGGAAGGGAAATGACTTTGCTGAGGCCACACAGATAGTAAGGAGAAGAGCTGAGATTGAAACCCTGTTTCTGTTACTTCATATTCAATATTCTTTCCACTATACCTACATTGGAGATAAATAGGGTAAACTTCACAGGAAAGACCCCAGAGAAAGATACACAGGAAAACATTTTATTTATATGTTCCAGGGAAGGTAAAATTCAATCCAAAACATGAATCTTTGAGACTTCTGCTAAACAGGAATGCTGGAAGTATCAGAACTTTTTTTTTTAATTTTAGGGGAGGTAGAATGTTTCTAAAGTAATTTGGATATGGCTCAAATGAATTCTGAATAAATAGATGCAGACTGGAAACCATATTGATTATTTTCCTTAATAGCCAACTTTTGAATGATCACAGCTATCACCATCTAAGTCCAAATAAGGGCCTTGCTTTATTCATTTCACTGCATGGGACTCTGAAAAGGACTTTAGAGAATATAAACTGGGTTTCTCATCAAAGAATCTCAGAGAAATTCTAAGGAGAATCTTAAGTGGTCCCTTCACATGCAGAACATCTAGTCTCTCATTAATTCTGTGCCTTCTGTCGCCCAAATAAGGACCTTGAAAGAAACAAAGAATGGTCCTTCAGTCAGTGATATCAATAGGCATCAACTAACATGACTGATGGTTTTGACAGATGGCCACAGACTGATCCTACCAAGTTAATAATGTTTCCCATAAATCTCCCAATGATACTACAGAAGAATTCTGCTAAGGTGATAAATGGTTCAAGTAGATACAGAAAAACTCCTTTTGTTGGCTATGCTTTTCATCACATAAATCTCACTATGAGTTATTATAAAAGTAATACATTTTATATCAAGATCACCCTAAGAGTGATCTACTTTTACTTCTAATTTCTTAATAAAAAAACCCAACTTTTAGTAACTTGGACAATTAAAAGGAGACCTAGGCCATGAAATAATTGATTATTGATGAGATTGTTTGTTGGTGACATTTATTTTGAAAATAGTTTTGGTGAAAAAAAGGGAGCTGCCTTCTCAGATGAATGGGAGCTGCATCCAGCCGAGGAGAGGTAGAGTTGTTGAGTTTCAAAGCTCAGGTGATACCTTCTATGTGAAGCCTTTTCTGATATTGCCCCATCCCCACCCCTGCCAAAATTACTTGGCATGTATCATTTCTGTATATAGTCATTTATATGTATACACATTGTCTTTCCCAACAGAATACTAACTCCTTGAGGGCAAGGACTAATTTCAGTTTTATCCTTGTATCCCCAGTACTTGGATAGTACCTGACATATACTAGGCACTTTATAAATGCATATTGGTTGACTGTGAGCCATCCATTCTCTTTGTCCCAATGTGTCCCAGAAGAATCTAACCATGGAGCTCTTGCATGAGCCATTTGTATGGCTGCATAAAATCAGTGGGGAAGGAATATGTTGGGGAAAGAAGGTGAGTGGGTGTATCTATATTGACCAAAATACAGCAAAGATTTGGTTATTATCCAGCCCATTTGCCCAGTCATTTCTCCCATAGAGGCTCAATCACACCTTCAGTTGGTGTACAAAGCTATCCGCCTCTCTAAACCATTACCAAGATCGAATTTGGACGTGGACAACAGTGGAGAACTGAATCAGACAATCGTGAACAAGTGAATGATCCACTTCATTTTGAAACACTGAACAATGTAGCTTAGTAGATGCTCACTAAATATTTGTTGAGCGAATGAAACATTCCTTAGTTTGCACATAAATCAGTAAAGAATTTATATATATATAGTACAAGACACAGGACATTATAGACTTATCGTGTATTGGAGGTGAAATGCAGGACCTTTGAGATCATGTTTCAGTCTCCTCACTTTAGAGAGGAGGAAACTGAGGTCCAGAGAGGGGGAAGGGATTTACTCAAAGAACCATGCTACCTCATTGTTTCCATTTTATTAATGAGGAAACTTGGGGCAAGAGAGGGTAAGGGCCTTATTTAATCTCTAGTCAAACTATGAGTAAAATCTTTTTTTTAAAATGAGTTTCTTAGTGTAGTGGAAAGGGTGTGGGATTTAGAGTCAGAGGAGTCCAGTTCAAATCTTGGCCTTGTTGCTCACTGTACAACATTGGACAAGTCACTTCCCCTCTCTGGGCCTCAGTTTCCTCATCTACAAGATAAGGGGTTCAGATTTGGTGGCCTCCAAGGACCCTTTTAGCTCTAGATTTCAGTGATATAGCCACTAAATAGTTGCAAAGGAATGGATTGAGGGCTCTCAGAGGCATAGTATTATGCAAAAAGACTGGCAGACTTCGATGGAATTAGCAAGGGAGTTTAAAAAAAAAAAAAGAATGACCACATGTACTTAAAATTAAACTGCAAAAATAGTCTTTTGATTTGTAACTGGGAGGGTGGGGAAATTTCATGTCATGTGACTATCTTATGCCCTTCTTGTGGGAAAGATGGAGAGATGGGAACAAGATGATAATACATTTAGATGGAAGGAGATCACCAGCAGAGGTCCTCAACACTAGATCTGGAGTTAAAGGACCCGACCAAAGAATCCTGGCTCTGCATCTCTTCCTACATCTGTGACCTTGGGCACTCCTCTTTCCTTCTCTCCCCAGGCCTCAATTTCCTCTGTAAAAGGAGGGTATTGAACTTGATGACCTTCTAGGTCTGACATTCTGTGATCTTTCCATGTGTGTTCTCAATGAGCAGGGCCAGTTAGAGACACAATTCAAGTCATTCCCTAAGTATCCAGATCTTTCTGCATGAGGGATAACTATATTTTCTCTTCTTCTTACAGGATCCAGCGGGAATATTTGAACTAGTGCAAGTGGTTGGAAATGGTACCTACGGACAAGTCTATAAGGTTTGCTTTCTTTTCATTCCTTTGACATTTCCTATGAAAACCATTGTTATATAGCCTGACAATCCCATGATGTAAAATTAGCCTTCCTAAGTTTTGACTCACTTTGCTTGGGAGCAGCATGGGGATCTCCTTAGAAAGGAAGAGGGAGGAATACTTAATGAATTCTGTACTCACTCTCTCTTCCCAGGCCTGCTTGACTCCAAATCTGTTGTAGGCCAGTGTTCTTAGGATCTTCTATGCACTGGCCACTGTCCCCCTCCCAACCAAACTGTATTACTTAAAGACAATTAATGAGAATTATCAAGGACCTACACTATCAAAGGACATGCCTGACTCAATGCAAATGTACAAACCCATCCAAAATCCTTCTTATATAATGAAGATCGAATGTGAAAAATAACCATAAACTATGCAAGTACTGAAAGGAGGGTAGAAATGGATGCCTGTCACACAGGCACTTGGCAAGAAGAGTGAAAGAGCAAAGGAAAGCTTTTCGGCCCACTCGGAAATGGGGTGAAGTAAGTTAGAGCAGAGGAGGAAAGTTTGGCTCTGCCCCTTTGCTCTCCTGGCTGTCTAGAAGGGAGGAGAGGCAGAGCTGAGAGAATATAGCCCCCAAGCTCCCAGCCCTCTTGGCTATTACCTAGAGAAGGAAGGGGGAGCAGAGCCAAGGGGCTGCTGTTCTCAAGAGCTGCCAGGAGGGGGCGAGAGAGAGCACGAGAGCTGAGCCAAGCTTTTGCTCTTCCTCTTAATTGGAGAGAAAAGAAAAGAAAAAAAAATACAACCACCTCCCAAGGACAAGAGAGACCCCAGAAAACCTGTGTCTGAAAGCCCTGTCTACAGTAGGTAGGTCATATGTTCCTCTTTGCTGGGATCCAAGTCTGCTCCCCAATATCTTATCTTCTGCATTCCTAACTGCTGGCTCTGAAGGTCAGTGGAGGTGGTCACCTTCTTCCAAGGAAGGAATTGGTTTTTAATTGGGGAGGAGGGGAGTGTCTATTAAGAAACAGAAAAAATGACAAGCCTCCTCAATCCAGTCTGTAAGGTTCACAAGGAACCACAATTTTGAATCTGAGGGGGCTTGCCTTCTAATAGTAAGCAGCATCCTCAATCCACAACCTGTTGGGGTCCAGGAGACCTATTATTATACTGGCTACAGCTGAGTGAGGGAGGGGCCGTGTTAATCTGCCCCCACTCCCATTCCAGATGACAAGAAGGTAACGGTGTCAGTTGTTCACTATGATGTTGCCAAGGATAGCTGAGCAGGCAGGCCGGTAACACTTAATCTCTCTGAAGGAGGAATCAAAGCAAGCTTGCTCAGCAGAGTCAATGATAGCTGGCAATGCTCATCGTTCCCAAAGGAGAGTGCTGGGACAGCTTAAAGAAGAAACTATCACAGTCCATTTCCAAAATGGAGTGCAATCTTCTCTCTCCCAACCTTCCAAACTGCTGTCCCTTTTGTTTGGTGGCTGTCTGTGTATTCTCCAAAGACTCTTAAGTGAGAAGTCTTTTGTGTTGGGACCAGTGTTGGTTGGGACCAGTATGTGCTCAGGATATATTGACTCTGTATAGTAGCAGAACTCTTTCCAAGCAGTTTTGACTATAACTGTTCAGTTCAGCGAAGGTCCAGAATTATAGTCCCGCCAGTCACATGACTATTTGGACACATCGTGACTGATCACTTTGCCCACAAATCAATATTTGTAGTGTTTTGGGCCAGTTGGGCGACTGCCCAAAATTGTACTGGAACTAAAAAGAAACTGATTCAAGAGAAAGGCAAGTGTTATGCTACGGGAATAGTTCTGAAGAAAGGATATGTTCCTTACCGCGTAAATACTCCATAAAAATTAACTTTATTAATATATACATATATATGTGTGTATACATATATATGTCTATAGATATATTTAATATATTACTTAATGTTGAGTCCTATCCAGAAAGCCATAAAAATCAGAACATCTTGATACTGGAAACAACCTTAGAAGTCATCTATACTACAGTAATTCTAGGGAGGAGTGTTGTAGAGATTGCTTGTGTTTGTGTATGTATATGTATATATACATATGTGTGTGTATGCACACACACATGTACCTGCTTTCACACACATGCGCACACATGTACCTGCTCAGGTTCAGAGGTATCATCACCTCTGAAGTTTTGGAATGGAAGTTTATATCTCTGCCTCTTATTTCCTCTGGCTTCCTTGTATACTCAGCATACATCTCATATTCTGTAGGAGTCCTTTGCCAGTCCCCACCACCACCCCACATCCCAGCTGCAACTGCCTTTCCCTCTGTGACTACCTGCCACACACTCTATTTTGTAAATGCCTACTTATTTACATGTCTCCCCTATTAGAATGCAAGCTCCTTGAGGGCAAGGACTGTTTCATTTTTTATCTTTGTATCCTCAGGGTTTAGCACAGTACCTACACATAGCAAGCATTTGATAAATACCTGACTGACTGAGAAAGGAGAGAAAAGCTTGGCATAATCAGAGACACACATTAGATTTTAGGAGAGCAGATTTCAGAGGGTTCCAAGGAAGTCCAGGTAAGGCTCCTTGGGCTAAAAGAAATCAGAAGTCAGCCTCAGAGGAATGGAAAATCCCCAAGGTTGAAATTACGAAGGTACAATGAGAAACAGTTCTGATAAGAAGAAAGAGGGATTGTCTGAAGAGATTGATGTGGATGCACATGGAAGTTACCAGTCAACTTAGATGAAAAAGAAAACGTGTGGAAGATGGAAACAAAGACAGATGGGAAGGGAATAAGCATTTTTATATGGCACCCACTATGTGCCAAGTACTGTGCTAAACTTTTTACAAATATCTCATTTGATCCTCACAATAACCCTGCAAGGTAGGTGCTGTTATTACCCCGATTTGGTAGTTGAAGAAATTAAGCCAACCAGAGGTTGTGACTCTCTCAGGGTCCCATATCTAGGAAGTGCTTGAGGCTGGATTTGAACTCCGGTCTTCCTGACTCGACCTAGTGCTGAAAGAGGCCCAGTGCTCTCTCTACTGCCCCCGGCTGCCTCCATACAATACAACACAATATGGTGACATAGTCTTGTAAAAATAGTATCAAGAGTTCTCAAGGTCAGAATGAGCTGAGACTGGTAAGGATGACCAAGGAGAGCAGAAAAGGTGTTTTTAGATTTGTGAGGTTTTTTAAGGTGGGTAAGGGGAGAAAAGAAGATCAAAGAAGGCACAGGCCTGCTGCTCAGGGTGGCTGAGATGATGATAACTGATGACAGAGAGAAAGCAGAGCTGTTTCCTTCTTCTTTTGCTTCTGTTTTCTCTAGAAAGGAGAGTGACCTTTGAACTGGAAAGGATAGAGCAAAATGATGTCTATGATAAGTGAGGAGATACTAACAGCTCTGAGCTGCCCTTGAAGGATTCATGTCATTTGGCCCAGATGAGTTATGTTTTGGGGGTACTGAAAACTGGCAGATGCAAATGCTGAGCCATCCTCAGTGATCTTAGAAAAACCATGGAAAATGGAAGAGACTCTGCAGGATTGGAGAAGGGCAAAGGTCCTAACTTTGAAAAAAAAAAAAAGGAAGTGAATAAAACCTTCAAACTATAGGACAGCGAGCACAACTTTGATTCCAGGCAAAATTCTGGAAAGGATTATTAAAAGGAGGGTTAGTGAACGTCCAGATAAGGAAGTAGCAATCACAAAGAGAAGACAGGGTTTCATCAGGGACAATCCAGACGACCCTTATTTCCTTTTTTTGACAGAATCCCTAAGTTGGTAGATTAAGGGAATGCTGCAGATCTAGTTTACTTAGATTTTAGCAAAGCGTATGATAAAATCTCTCCCATTCTTATTGTGGAAAAGAAGGAGAAATGTGGGCTAGTTAATAGTAAAATTAGGTAGATTTGGAACTGGCCAAATAGCTGAACGTAAGAAACTGCCATTAATGGTTCCATGCCATCTCAGAGGGAGAGCTCCAATGGAGTACATCTGAAAGCTGCTCTTGCTCCAGTGCTACCTTGACACTGAAGGGGAAAGGACAGAATTTGACTAACAAATGTTCCCAAGAGTATATTTGTGGTAAGAAGCAAAGGCAGGGTGTAGGGAGGGGGGATTTGCCCATTACGAGACCATCTTCTCTGAAGAAGGGTTGTACCTCCCAAGATTTTATCACACCTCAGAGAGGGGATATATTAAACCCCAAGGCAATTAGCACCCAGGGTGGTTAGAAGGTCACAGAACCAGAGCAGGGAGAACATGGACTTAGAGGGGAAGACTGAAGACTCATGACTTAAGACACAGAACAACTCCCACCATACAACGTTGCTTCCATCTGACCTTATTTCCTTCATGGAGTGATATTTCTGAGAGTAAGGCATGACAGAAAATAAGGAGGAGAAAGGAGTCAGATGTTAAAATTCAATAGCAAAGAAATGAGATATAAGGGAGAACTGAGATAGAATAGAGGTACAAGTCATGGGATGTGAGGTTAATGAACTGGGAGGCTAGGCAGTATCAACATGCACATTGAAATATTAAGGATTTGGGGTAAAAAATAAGATGGTGAGGCAGCTAGGTGGCACAGTGGATAGAGCTCTGGCCTTGGAATCCGGAGGACCTGAATTCAAATCTCGCCTCAGACACTTGACACTTACTGGCAGTGTGACTCTGGGCTAGTCACTTAACCCCGATTGCCTCACCAAAAAAGGAGAAAAAAAGGAGAAAATGGTAAGCCAGGTACGTAAGTCCTTGAGAAAGATTAGAGGCAAACTAGGGAGGATAAAAGCAGACAAGAAAACTATAAATTAATTAATTAACTAATCTTGACATAAAAATATTCACTATATTAAGAAAGCAGCTACAGAATTATATTCAAAAGATGATTCACTGTGACGAGGTTATAGTTATACCAAGAATTAAAGGATGATTTACCTTTAGGAAAACTATAAACATGATAGGCTATATTAATGAAGAAAATAAGAAAAAAAATCACATAATTGTATCAATAGATACAAAAAAG